AGTAGTGTGGAATGGCTGGGGGTGCCGAAAACACTGCAGACAGTAGCAGGGGTATCAGATTTTAAGGGCTCTAGTTGGGGGTGGGGGGCTATGGGAGGGTGGCAACTGGGAAGTGGGTGTATAGTCGAATAAGATGGTTTGGGATGTTCTGTGTGATGTACACACACACACAAAAAATTAACAAATTTTTTAAAATGTATTATATTTGAGAAGGAAGACTAGCAATTTATGTCATGGTAATTAGTAGAGGTGATAAACATTACCATTGAAATCTACCTGATGACTTCATAGACATTCACTTGACATTTCTTACCCCCTCCTTTTGGTGTAGCCCTCCCTGTCACCTTCTGATTTCCTCCATACTCTCATGCCCCTCTCTACTTAAGATTCTCCACCCCATGTTATCCACCTTTCAAATTTCATTTTCCTAGAATGATACTCAATTTTGCATGATGATTTCATTTTACTGATAACAATTTGCGATATGTATTGGTTTTGAAGGTTTTATGGTGAATTCTTTAGGACTTTTGAACACAGGATCTTGTTGTCTGCAAATAAGGATAATTTGACACCTTCTTTTGCTACTTTTATCCCCTTTTTTTCCTCTTGTCTTTTTGCTGTAGCTAAGACTTTGAATGCTCAATTGAATAAGAGTGGTGAGAGTGGGCATTCTGGTCTCATTCCTAATTTTAAGAAATGTTTTCTTTTGTTCTCATTTTTTGGATATAGGTGTGTTGTATGTTGCCTTTATTGTGTTGACACATGTTCCTTCTAGTTGTAATTTCTTTAGAACTTTTATCAGGGTGGGATGCTAAAGTTGATCAAAGATCATTTTTGACATGATCATATGATTTCTGTCCTTCAGTCATATATGTGTTGCATTACATTTATTGACTGGCATATGCTATATCAACCTTGCATCACTGGAATGAAGGAAACTTAGTCATGTATATGATCTTCTTAATGTGTTCTTAAATAAGAGTAGAAATAATTTTAATGAGAATTTTTGTGTCTGTGTTCATCAGAAAAATTCATCTTTCATATACTTGTGGCTGGGGATTCAGCTTCGTGGTATAAATGTTTTCCAATCATGAACAAGACTGTGGATTCCGTCTCAATTCTGGAATAAAAAGTGTGAGCTATTGAGTCTTTATTTTTTTGTGCTTTTATCGGATTTCGATAGCAAGGAAATGTTAGCCTCACTGAATGAGTTTGGCAGTGTTTCTTTTCTACTTTGCACAACACATTGAGCACTATTGCTCTTATATCCTTTTTAAAGATTTGCTACGACTGGGCAGAGAATCAGAGAATCTATCTGTTCCTGGACTTTTCTTTGTAGGGAGGCTTTTTTTATTATTAATTACTGTTTCAGTCTCATTGTTTCTAGGACCTTTAATTTATTTATATGTTCTGGATTTAACTTTGTAGGTGATCTATGTCTAGTAATTTGCCTATTTACTTTAGAGTTTCCAGGATTTATATAGATTTTTATCATCTGCATCTTCTTAGTTTAATAATTGAAGTTGTCCAAAATATTTGAGATATTTTGATAAAACTTGGTTATGTGTATTACTTTCAAATTTTTAATTTATATAATCTACTTAATTGTCATAGTTAAAACAGTATTACATTCCTATAATAGTTAAAAGAAATAACATTTTAAGGACAAGAACATCATGTCTTACTTGGAAATTTGGCCTAGAAATACATGACTTACTGTAGATTGAAAAATGAATGCAGAAGTAACAGTAAATACAAAACCTTTCACTGACTCATAGAATAGAACCTGCTTTATTTATGCAAATTATTTTGTAAAGTCAATGTAGTATATATAATTTAAATGGTAGTATCTTTATATTAAAATATTTTATTTTAAAATATAGTCCCTTACTATTAAAAATACAGCATTAGTGTATATATTATTTCATTTTATTTTTATATACCTGTTTTTCTTACAAAACCTTTCACTGACTCATAGAATAGAACCTGCTTTATTTATGCAAATTATTTTGTAAAGTCAATGTAGTATATATAATTTAAATGGTAGTATCTTTATATTAAAATATTTTATTTTAAAATATAGTCCCTTACTATTAAAAATACAGCATTAGTGTATATATTATTTCATTTTATTTTTATATACCTGTTTTTCTTGGCCA